TCCGCGAATATACCGCAGGAGATGACATCGAAAAACTTGACAAGACTTCTCATTCGTTAATTGCGGATCTGAATTAAACAGAAGCACCAACTAAAAAGTTAATTGCAGCATTTTTGCGCTGACTTTTCCTCGTGAGCTTTTTTGTTACTAACAATCTCCACTAATTAAACTTTAAAAATAAAGAACTAAACTAAGTTTCGGAACACTGCGGATCGTCGTTTGATCGCGAGAAATTAAATGTATGGGTGCTATTTTTAAGAGAATCACTGATCACTTTTTGATTGTATTGCAGGTGGTGGTGGTGGTGGTGGTGGCTTCCATAGTTATGGACATGATGCAAAGAGCTCTAATAAAGGAGGGGGAAAAGGAGGTTCAGGATATCTTCAGGGGGGAGGGGGTGGAAAGATTTTTGGTGGGTTCGGAGGTGGCGGTGGTTTACGTAGTTCCAACATGGGACCCGGCGGTGGTGGTGGTTTCACTGGGGGAAGTGGCGGGGCTAATGAGGAGATTTCCTGTGGGGGAGGGGGAGGATCTTTTAACAATGGAACAAATCAGCAAAATGAATGTTGCTATAATATCGCTGGTCATGGCTGGGTAAACATTACATTTCTCCGATGAAGAGCACATAGCAACTCTTGTTATCGTGCACAAAAAAAGTTGTGAGTCAGTTCTTCATCTTCTTGTGCATTTCAATCCCCTATTTCCCCGAATAAGCACCCGGGCTCTAATTTAAAGTTTAAGCTTAAGTGGGGGTCCTCATTGGAAAGTGGCGCCTATTAAGAAACTATTCTAACTGAAGCTTAAAAAGTTATAAAAAATGGAAATAAACACAGATTTTCCTCGTATCCAAACTGTTTGACAAAGTGAGAAAAAAGGAGGGGGGCGCTTGTTTGATTTTAGGGGCTAGGGGTTGGCTGCTTATTGTGGGGGGGGGGCTTATTAGAGCGTGGGTGGTTATTCGAGGAATACGGTATTATATCTAAAAATGATTTTCAGTTGACTATGAAAGTTTATTATGAAATCCTTTTTTTCCCTTGATCAACTCAAAAGTAAACTCGTTTCTAAATTTTCATACGACCAATTTGGCCCATTATCTTTGTTTTTCCGCCCTTTGGGCCGACTGGAATTCCTTTGCCATTGGCGCTGGTTGCAAACTATCCTCAAAAATAGGGGCTTGGTTTGTGTTACGTATGGTGTCCTTGGTTACTATCACCAGAATCCCCCATTTTCGAAATGTTTAATTTAATGTTACGATTCCCAGTCAATTGGCAAACGTTCTCCTTCACCTCCAACGGTTTCCTGCAAAATGGAAAACCGGCACAGGGTTGATACCAACTTGTAGAT